AAATCTGTCAATTATTCAAGCTCTGTAGTCGACTACTCCAGGCTATAGTCGACTAATCTAGGGTTTCTGGGGTATAATTCTAAACTTGCTCTTTTGTTATCTTGTTATTTACCTAGTTCATCATGTCTAGGTCTAAGAAAGCTAAGCAAACTCACAGTTCTGTTAATGATGAAATCATTGTTTATTTAAAAAGTCCTGAATTATTGGAAGAATTTAATAAAATATCATCCTTTGAAGTTCTTCCAGGACGATTTGTGAAGTTTGATGATTTCATTCCATGGAACTTCAGTTCTTATTTTGAAAATGTGGGCTTGCTTGAGTTATTTTCTGCTGAAAATAGAAAACCATCATACCCATTTCTTGTGCAACTGTTCTATACAAATATAGAACGTGTGGGTACAATTAGTGGTTCTGAAAAAATTAAAACCCTTGTTAAAGGAATGGAAATCGAATTAACTACTAAATCAATTGGTAAAATATTCAATATTCCTTATCAAGGAGTTTCTCTTAGCTCTGTTAGGATGAACGATTCAGACTTCTTATCCAATCACATATTTCTTCCTGGAAATGGAAAACCTTTGAATAATTCAAACAAGCTTTGTCCAATTCCTAGGTTTATTGCTCGTATCCTAGCCTATAACTTGTTTCCAAAAACTGGAAGTTTTCATTTGATTTCCCTAGAATTAGCAAAAGCTGTATATGCTATTATGGGAAATATTCAAGTTAATTGGGCTGAGGTTTATTTTGACAATCTTCTGACCATTCCTAGAGGATTTCTTCCATATGGTGCATTCCTAACCAAGATCTTTGACAAATTCCAGAGGATTTCTTCCTTATGGTGCATTCCTGACTAAGATCTTTGACAAATTCCATGTCGATCTCAAATCTGAAAAATCTGTTGTTCGTTCAATTGAATTTTTTGATTCAAATGCCCTAACTAGGATGAAATTGACAAATTTTGAAATTCAAGATCACAATCCTCAAAATGAACCTGAACCTCAACAAGAAGAAATTCCACAATCCTCAAATCAAGCTGGAGCCTCATCAAGTCAACCCCCACCCTTTCCTACTGAACCCTCGTGCTTTTCAGACGTGCAATACAACACCTTAAGTGCACGTATCCTAGAACTGGAAACTGGTCAAAGAGCTCTATATGCACAAAACAGATACATCATCAGTAATCAAGAAGAGCTAATCAAAAAGTTTGAAGACTTGGACTCAAAGCTTAATTCGTATTTTCAAGGCCAACATGTTATTATGTTTAAAACTATGTGGTTGTGTTGCTATTATGTCAAGTTTGCTACAATATGACTGTGTGTTAAGTTTGCTATTATATTAAGTTTGCTATTTGTGTTGCTACTATTTGGTTAGATAATACAAGTGCTATATATTTTAAACAGATCATGGTGATGAACATTGTGGAACTTGTGGTCTTTATGGCAAGTCTTTGCCTACCAATATGGATGTGTGAAGTTATGGACTATGTTCATAACCTGGATGATTTGTTTGAAGTATTAGCTCATGTTGAAGAAATTATGTTATGTTTAGGTTCCTCTTTTTGTTGATAACAAAGGGGGAGAAATAGTTAAGTTTTATATTTTGTTTTATATTTTTTATGAATGTTAAATTTTTTATTATGAATGTTAAAAACTTTGCATATATGCAGGGGGAGTAAGTATTACATGTTTTAAGCTTTAATTTGATGCGAAAATTATTTGTTATCATCAAAAAGGGGGAGAATGTTGAATATCATTTCTCCATGATAATGTTTTGATGATAACAATTTATATTGTGTGTGCACTAACTTTCATATGCAGATTTCAATATCAGAATATGTACAAGTGCAAGTGAATATCAAGGCATTTTGAAGTGAAGAAAATGAAGAACAAAAGATAATGTATTTGAATTTTTCTTTGCTTAGAATATTTGTACAAGCCTTGATCACACACACACGCACACACACAAAATTTTAGAACACACTAACACAGGCTTAGTGTGTTGGTTAACTATAGAAATCCCCTATGTTAACCATTAGAATAATAGTTAAAACTTAATTATAAAAACTCATTATTTCTGAATTTTTGATCTTAATAGTCGACTAATTAGGATAGTAGTCGATTACTCATGTATATAACTCAAATACAAGTTTCTGTCTGTTTACAGTATAGTCGACTAATTAACATTATAGTCGACTACTGAAGAAAATGTCATTTTTCAAGTTTCTGTCAAATTACAGTATAGTCGACTAATGATCATTATAGTCGACTACTGAGAACATTTTCCGAAAACACAGAGTCTGTCTGAACTCAGTGTAGTCGACTAATGACTACAGTAGTCGACTACAAGAGACAGTTTTTCAGTTTTCAGAATTTGAATATCTGACAGTTTTTGGCCGTTTTTAAACGTTTTCAAACTTTAAAAACTTGTCTTTTCAAGGGGTATATATAGGTTATTTGTTCAGAAAAATTGGAAAAATATACATACCCATAAGCTTTGATTCTTGAGCAATTTCCTAAGTGAAAAACATTCTGATTTTCTGAAAAAGAAGAGTTTCTGAAATTGCCTATATACTTTCATCAAAAACAAATCAATTAGGCAATTTTACAAAGATTAAAAGAATCCTAAGCCACTGCTGCACATTATTACACATTCAAGGCTTATAGGATCATTGTGTTCTTCTTCAACAAGTTTTCTCTCGGTTGTGAGAGGGTTAGTCTCTTGGGTTAGAGATTGGTGTTCAAATTGACAAGGAGTTTGTCAATTGGTGTTGCAATTTGCAGGAACTTGCAAATTGGTCAGGTTTGCATTTGATTTTGTAAGTTTATTCAAAATCATAGTGAAAACTCTCAAGCGGGATTTGCTTGGGGACTGGATGTACACCAGTTTGGTGGAACCAGTATAAAATCCTTGTGTTTGTGTTTGCAAATTTCTGAGATTGCCATTTTTTCTTTGCAATTTATTATCTACTTTGCAATAATTTTAAAAGAACACTATTCACCCCCCCTCTAGTGTTCAAGTGTATCTATTTCAGATCCTACATTTGGTATCAGAGCAAGGTGAAAGATGGCATTGTCAAATACATCACAATTCAAGGAAGGTCACTCTACAAATCGTCCTCCAATGTTCGATGGCACGAACTACAACTACTGGAAGTGTAGGATGAAGATCTATCTCCAATCTCTTGGCTACGAACTTTGGAACGTCGTTGAAACAAAATATGAGAAACCAACAACTCCTTTCGCGGAATGGACTACATCTCAAAGGAACAATGCGAATTTGGATTCTAAAGCAATGAATGCCTTATTTTGTGCACTTGACAAGAATGAGTTCAATAGGGTGTCAACGGCCACATCCGCATATGATATTTGGCACACACTCGAGGTAACTCATGAAGGTACTACTAAAGTTAAAGAATCTAAAATTTCTGTTCTTGTGCACAGATTTGAATTATTCAAGATGAAGGAAAATGAGACTATTGGAGAAATGTTCACAAGATTCACCGACATCACAAATTCTCTTATTGGTCTTGGAAAAACATATACTCAAGTGGAGATGGTAAGAAAGATACTTCGTTCACTTACTCCACAATGGGAAAAGAAAGTTACCGCTATGAGAGAGAGAGAGAGGATTGGAGAGAGAGAGAGAGAAGATGAGCTGGATTTGAGATATTATTGGAGAGAGAATTTTATCACGGGAAATCAAGTGGGCAAGAATGGTATGAGAATAAACGTGATTATGAGGTGATTGGAGAGTGATTATGGCTGATTGGGAAAAGAATTTGGAAGGAATTCAAATTCAAGTTAGAGGAAATTAAGAGGGAGAAGATTATGGCATATATTTGCAAGATATTCAGAATAATAATATTAATTAACAACTAAATTTTCATATATTTGTATATGTACTAATGTACTAAGCTCAAATTTACATAAAAAAATTACTAATAGTATCAATAGTTAAAATAATTATTTAAAATATTCATTACAACTATAAATTAATATTTCACAGAATTAATAATTTTGGACTATATATTTTATTTATTTATTTATTTTTAAAAACTCATAACATTCCAGAAATTGAGAAAAATATTAATAAAATAAAGTTTAATATTTTAAATACTAGTAAAATTTATTTAAATACGTATAAAAAATTTACGGTTGTTACATCCTACCCCCCTTAAAATAAATTCCGTCCTCGGAATTAAGATAAGAAACCAAGGACAGATATGGAACGATATCCATAAGAAGAGGAGACAAGAAACAACGGGAAGCCCCAGAGTCAAAGGGTGATAAAGCAAAGACGGAAGAAACAAGAACATTGCCTATTATATGAGGATGAAAATACGTCTAAGCATGCACTCATAAACAAATCCTATCATAATATCATCAAGCAATGCGAAATAAGGAAGTTCATACGCAATTAAAACTAAGAATAAACTATTCTTACCGGTGATAACTTGGTTGTTCTCCTTAGCTTCCACGGCCGTCATCATGAATGTATGACGTGGTGGTTACTGCCTTCGTGCTTCCTGATAAATCTGCTGCTATGGAGGAAGAGGGCCTACTCGAGGGTAGGGTCCGTGCTGAGCTGGAGCTGCTGAGTCTGATCGAGGTGGAGCTGGAAGAGCTGCTCGAACTGGAGGTGGGGGCAAGCTGGCCTGCTGTCGCTGCGGACATTCCCGGTTGACATGATCAGGGGACCCACAGTTGTAGCACAGGCGAAGACGCCTAGGGCACTCCTGCACCAATGGCTGGTTCTAAGACTGCACTCCAGGACGCTGATAAGGATGAGCCTGATGAAATGGTTGACGCTGAGAATGCTGCTGCCTCTGCGGGTTCTGCTGCTGTCTCGGAGGGGGACGCTCGACATTCCGGGTCGGAGCTGCTGGTGTCCTGCTCTGAATCACGTGTGAGTCTTTAGGTTCCTTCTGCACGCTCTCAATCTCACGTGCTGCATCCAGTACTGCATCGTGCGTCGCAAGTGCTCTACCAGCTAGAGCAAACATGATATACTTATCCAGGCCCTTCTGAAACTTATGCCTCCTGAAAGTAGGGTCTGTAACCAAGTGGGGAGCATATCGACTCAAGGAAGAAAACTCGGCCTCATACTCATCAACTGTTCGCCCTCCTTGCTTGAGCTCCACAAATCTTTGCAAAAGCTCGTCCCGAGCTGACTGAGGGAAATACTTCCTGTTGAAACGGTCTGTGAAGGTATCCCACGAAATCGGTCTCTCCAAATGAGCTTTCTCTGCAGTCCACCAAATCCGAGCAGTGTTGGTGAGCTGAATATCCAAAAGGTCCACTCATTCAGCAGGGGCAATACGGGTCACCGTGAGAATAGTCTCGGTGACCTTCAAGAACTCTTCTGCTGCTAAGGGTCCTTCAGCACCAGAGAAAGAAGGGGGCCGCATATACCGAAACTCCCTAACGCAAGACTCTGGACGAGGGGGAGGTTGGTGCTGAGGCTCCCGCTGTAGCTACCCAGCTAGGTGCTGCTGATTGGTGATCAATCCCTGAATCATCACCAGAAGTTGGTTTGGATCAACTTCGGGCTGCGGGACACTGCTACTAGATGGGTTATCGTTACTACGAGTACCCACCATGATTCTGAAGGAACGAGGATCAAAAGAAAAATTAAGGTTAAAATCAAATAATATATTTGGAAAATAGGAACTAAAACATAGTTATTAAAAAAATAGTATAAGAAATTAATTGTAATCTAAAATAATAATATAAGAACTTAATTGTAGTCTTACGGATGAAATATGATATGTATGTAAATTGTCCAATATATTCTTACTAGTATAAACTCGGGACCGTGACCTGCATGGGCCACCAAAAAAACCTATCACGCCCCGCTTCCCAAAATACACGGGAACAGGAACGTGAACAAGCCCGCGACGTATTAGATTGAGAAGAAATATACACAACCATTTTTTTCTTTTTCTTTTCTTCTCAATCCAATACGCTAAGCATCTAGAAATAAATATAATGCGAAGTCACAGGTCCCCGATCACACATAACAAGAATATAATGACAATCCAGAATAAGAAATAGACATATCATCAATGGTAAATCATCCCAGACCTAAACATATGGGTCAAACACGCCCTTATTACAAAACGGTCCAACTAAAAATATAAAAATACATAATCCAACAGAAATAAAGGAAAGTACTGCTAAAACAACTAAATCCAATATCAGACTAAAGTAAGGTTCTGCAAAAGAGATCTAGCGCTTATCAACTACTACATAAAGAAAAGTCTAAGCTTCAGATTGTTCTTTTGATCCATCTGGAAGACCTCACTGCTGCAAATCCTCTAGCTCTTGTACTATCTCGAACTGAGGCTGTACATCTCCTAAATCTGACGTACACCCAGAAAATAGGAGTACGTCAGCGTGTAAAACACACGGCAAGATCCCCCAAGGCAAGAACAAATACAACAACGATAATGATAATATATGCGTGGTCAATGCGATAACAGAAATAAAAATAGAACATGTGATGATAGAATAACAATAGAGGCGTGCAACTGGAATACTAATAATCAGACGAATCCAAAAGTCAACCAAGTAACAAGATCATGCATGTAGCGATCAGAAACCATCCAAGCAACAAGATCATACAATAGATAGAATTAATATTTAAAAATCTACAGCTCGAGACGTAGTACGTCGAACGAAATAATATAAACAAGGAAACCCTCATGTATATACCATATGTCTCGAATTGTAAATAATTAAATATTAATCTCGATCTATGTATGGAAAGAAATACAACTGATCTACGTCTCACAAGAATCATACTTAGCCAAGAATCTAAGTCATGTAACTAGTCATCCTATAACAGGTCACTGGCTCATATTATCGGATAACTGATAGATCGCGATCACAAATATCCCAACTCCTCGGACCCACCCCGGTGACTACACAAACTTCACCGGCGCGAGCCTGGAAATAATCAATAATCTCGATATCACAACTCCTCGGACCCACCCTGGTGACTACACAAACTTCACCAGCGCGAACCCGAAATACACAAACATCTCAACTCATCAGACCCACCCCGGTGACTACACAAACTTCACCGGCGCAAGCCCGGAATACAACCACAATCACAAATATCTCAACACCTCAGACCCACCCTAGTGACTACACAAACTTCACCGGCGCGAGCCTGGAAAATACATCAACCATCACAACTGCTCACATGGACCAAGACTTCTCTCCCCAATTCTCATAATTCCAGGTCAACTACACACGAGATTCTAGATCCTAACTGTGTCATACAGGTCACTATAGTCATGTACTTCTCATGATTCTCAACATGGAATAATAAATATAATTACACTAAGTGTCAAAGTCATAAAGTATGAACAAGGGTCGTGATCACATTCAAGGAACATACGAGAGTAAAGCTACTATTAACAATGCAACGTGAAACTACCATTAACAGATGTTTTGCACATGAAAATCGAAATCTCAGTTATTAGTTCTAACAACAATTTCCTTTAAAGTTATCTCTCATTATAAAATTCTAAAATGATCTTCTTGAAATATATTCTATTATTATTTATGAATAGTAATATTTTTTAATTTATATATGATTTCTATGATATTTTATAAAATAATCTAAAATACTCTTTTTCTCAAAATAAAATTCTTTTAATCATAAAAATTATTCAAAAATACTCCATATCCAAAATAAATTATTTTCTAGAAATAATTCCTTTTAAAATATTTTCCTCATTATAAATCATTCAAAAAAATTCCTGTAATTACATTTTTTTCCTTCCAAACATCACGAAATTAAACATAAACTATTTTTGACATATCTATTCATCACTTATAGCATCGTTTCGCAGAATATAATCACACAGTATCAACAACTCACGCAAATAATCACGTTATAACATAATCTAGCATAGTTAAATCAACGTATATAATTAATAAATTCTTAATGTATCAAAAAATAAATAGACAAGATGATGAGCAGGGTTAGTTGGTGCAGTGGTATGGGCGCGAGCGGGCTGTTCGAGCGGGGTTGAGCTCGATGGAGGGTGGCTGGGTTCGGTCTGTCGAGCGAGGCTGCCGACGAGGGGAAGCTCGACTACAGCAGTGATGGCGGTGCTGGTCAGGTGGGCGGAGGAGGACAACGGTCTGGCGGGTGATGGGGCTATCAGAGCATGGTTGAGGGGCTGCTGTAGGCGGTGGCAGCGGGGTTGGCTGCTGGAGTCCGTCGAGGAAGAGCGGCGGACGACGTGGTGTTGGGGCGGCTGGAGTTTGGTGGGGAGATGGCCGGAGATGGGTTCGAGGCTGGGTGTTGATGGGGAGATGGCGTGGTGTCGAGCTCGGATTTGAGATATTATTGGAGAGAGAATTTTATCACGGGAAATCAAGTGGGCAAGAATGATATGAGAATAAACGTGATTATGATGTGATTGGAGAGTGATTATGGCTGATTGGGAAAAGAATTTGGAAGGAATTCAAATTCAAATTAGAGGAAATTAAGAGGGAGAAGATTATGGCATATATTTGCAAGATATTCAGAATAATAATATTAATTAACAACTAAATTTTCATATATTTGTATATGTACTAATGTACTAAGCTCAAATTTACATAAAAAAATTACTAATAGTAATAATAGTTAAAATAATTATTTAAAATATTCATTACAACTATAAATTAATATTTCACAGAATTAATAATTTAGGACTATATATTTTATTTATTTATTTATTTTTAAAAACTCATAACATTCCAGAAATTGAGAAAAATATTAATAAAATAAAGTTTAATATTTTAAATACTAGTAAAATTTATTTAAATACGTATAAAAAATTTACGGTTGTTACATCCTACCCCCCTTAAAACAAATTCCGTCCTCGGAATTAAGATAAGAACCCAAGGACAGATATGAAACGATATCCATAAGAAGAGGAGACAAGAAACAACGGGAAGCCCCAGAGTCAAAGGGTGATAAAGCAAAGACGGAAGAAACAAGAACATTGCCTATTATATGAGGATGAAAATACGTCTAAGCATGCACTCATAAACAAAACAAACAACGTTGTTGGAGGATGGATGGAATAGAGCTTCAACGATCATATCCAAAGGAGGTTGGCGGAAAGTCGGTGAAGCTTATGCAATTCAAGTTAAAGATCGAGTTCAAACTTCATCCACAAATATATCAAGTCAAGCCTATTGAATATCAAGATCAAGCTTTGGTATATTTAGTTTAGGTTTTATATTATGTGTGTTAGATACTCTAAGCTCAATATCATATACACACACGTATTTGGTTCCTAAGCTCAAATATTGTATTCTCAGTTTATGGACTTAACAATTATAATATACATATTTTATCAAGTCCATATAATCATTGTGCAAAGTTTCAAAACATTGTTTATGTCAAAACATCAAACTTCATGTATATCACTTTTTTCATGTTTTGAACACTTTTGCAAAATAATAAGATTTCACAATTGGGAAATGCAAATTGGAAAATTCTTTTTGTAACATGTTCAAAATATCATTTTCAAACATTTCTCAAAGTTTCATCAAGTTTGGAATTGATTTGTTATGTTTAAAGGAATTTACAAATTCACGTTTTTGTTCGTGCACATGTTCGTGCATGTTTTACAAAACTCATGAGTTTTCGCAAATGGGAAGTGATATTTGAAAACTTATTTCTCTGACATGTTTATATACATGTTTAGAAACTTTATCCAGTTTTTACTATTTTTGAAGTTGATTTACTATGCCAATTGATTTTACAAAATCGTATATGTTAACAGTTTTTCAGAAACTGTAAATTTGTGTTCAAATATTTGTTTCTCTCAACTGGGAAAAGAATTTTCATAAATTCTTTCTCTGACATGTTATTCTACATGTCAAGAACATTCTCACAAAATTTCATAGTTTTTGGAGTTCATTTACTATTTTAAATTGATTTTACAAAACAGCTGCGTACTACTACAGTAACTCCGGTCGACCGGACCGGTCGACCGGAAATGTCTCTGGACGCGGTTAGTGTAGCATAACGGCTATATTTTCTAAATTTTGATATATCCGTTTTTTGTCTTTTTGCTTGGTTTTCTTGGGTTTTTGGGCTTGTTTCATGAGCCTATATATACTCTATGCCCTCATACTTCTAAGGGTACTCAAGAAATGTTTTAAACAAGTTTTAAGAGTTTTAAACAAGGGTTTAAGTGTGTTTTAGTGTTTGTTTGGTTTGAAGATTATTTTCACAAGTGGAGGAGATCATCTTCTTGTTTGGGCTCCAATCTCCATCTCTCCATCTTGTCATCTATTGGAGAAGTTTTCTAAACTCTATCTAGCTTTACATTTGCTTAGTTATTTGATTATCATTCTTTAAAGCTAGTTTTTATATTGAGTTTAGATTTGA